GTTTTGAAATACACACACAGATATACAAAACCTGTATGTATGTACCACAGAATACAACTTTCCTGCAATATATCTCAGTGAGTCCACCTAGTTTACAACTTTAAAATTTGTTTGTGAAACATTTGTCTGTATACATTTTATATTTTGTACATTTTTGATGTAACATATCATGTAAATAGACAGACACAGTGAGATAAATCATCTGAAAAGTTTTGTAGTCTTTGTAAAGCCCTAATAATAATAAGTATTTGGTGTCATCAGACTTAACTGGATGATGTATTTTCTATTGATTTATTGTTCTTCTAGCTTGTAAACCAGCTTGCATATATTTTTTGCAGGTGTGCACACTGTATCTGTCTAAATTATTACTTTGTCATTAAAGTGGAATTATTTATTGACCATGAGTCTGGTGTCTTTGCATTAAAGAAAAGTATGATTGGGCAGTAAGAGTTGCATACTGGCTAATGTGGTTTCAGAAACAGCTTGACCAACATTGGTCACAATTAGGCTCTGGTTCTAGTTAGCCTAATATGGATTTCAGCAACTAATTTGACAACAAATGTCTTCTAGTGCATTGTCTTAAATGAAAAGTGCTTTCAGGGAAATAAAAGGCAAATATGGTGTTGTGAGCTCAGTGTTTCATTGGCCCCCGTCACACGGAGCATTAGCCACGCTACAGGGACGGAAGATAGGCGGATTTTCCGGGTGCGATCTCACCACCACATCTGGGAAACGTAGAGCTCCTGTGACTCACCCGAGGCTTCCCGTGAAAAACGCACGGTAAAAAACTAGTACCTCGGAGGTACTAGTTTCCGGAAACCGCGGGGCAAGGGCGGGTGTCTGATCCGGTGGTAGTTCCGGCGCCCGGCCATGTCCCCTAGCAAAAAGGGTTTTTTTCCCCCAAGTCTCCACGGATGCGCACAAGCACCCACCGGAGCATGCACACACTTTAGTTTAAAAAACACACACACACACAACGGAGCAGCTAAGACTTGAGTCGTGCAGAGAAGAGGAGAGCAGCCAGAAGAAACACAACACAAAGCGCATGGCTTGAGGCGAGAGAGAAACAGATAGGGGGAAAGCGGGCAAGGCAGAAGAGAAAGCGGCTGAGGCGAAGCCCAGAAGGGGGGGCTGCAGCGGCAGAGTAGGATGCCTGCTTGGGGAATGGGGGGCCAAGCCGGGAAGAGGTGACTAGACACACGGGCGCGAGGGGGTGTGTGCACAGAGGCTGCGGGATCGGAGCCCCAGTGCCCAGGAAGCCGAAGAGCCAGGAGGGCGGCACTCACCATGAAGACAGGCGCTGGAGGAGAACCCTTGGTGCGCGGCCCCCACTTCTTTGCCCCACTTCTTTGCTGCCCCGTATGATCGGCACCTCCCCCTAACCACGGGACCTCCATGGGAGCTCCACGGGAGGTCTGATTGCACAACCGTGCATTAGTTTGCCCCGGGGCAAACAGCCACGCCCCCCCCCCCGCATTTTCTTGCCCGTGTGACCGGAGCCATTGATGATATTCAAAATCAGAGCAGAAGAAAAAATACAGGGGGCAGGTTTGTGTCCAAATGGTTGCAGAAACCAAGCGGTCCCTCAGCAGCTGGTATACTTGGCTCCTTCTCCATCCCTAAAGGAACCTGCAAAGTCCAACTAAGAGCAACTGGATCCTCTCTAGCATGGGATGTCCTTTACAAACATATTTCTGCCCTACCATATTTTGGCTCTGACAGCCCCATTTCTTACTCTGAGCAGAGTGAAAAGAGAGACTTCCTAGGCTCTTGCAGATGGATACTTTGTTGAGAGAGGACCAGAAGAGTTTGTAGGAGGCTGGCCCCCAGGAGCTGGATGCATATACTAGCATCATCACATACCGTAACTGCCCCCAGCATCCATATGCTCTGCAGACTTTTGATGTTCTTCAGATTTTATTTCCTGAGAAAGAAACTATGCGTTCATTTCAAATTTCACTTTAGACAATACTTGATAACTACCTGTGCAGAATGTTCTCAAAAATGTGGGTACTGTTGTTGAAATACTCTTGGCTTTCTTCAGACATCCACAGTCAATGACTGACCCAGTTCGACATTTGCAGCTGTTTAAAGGGTTGCTGTTTTTCTTCCCGACATAGCCCAGGAAAGGATGATTGGCTTTCAAGCATGCTCAATAGAAGTCCCCCCCACTTAATAGTTTTTGCTGCATACCATTGTGGCCACCAAGGAATAAAGAAAAATCACTTTAGTTTGTATATGGCCACAGGGGGACTGTGTACTTAGCACAACTCAAAACCACCGTGTCATGGCTTCTTCAAGTACAGCCTGCTAGTATTTGATCAAGGTGTTCCTGTGGCCCCTAGGACCTTATGCAGAATGGAAAAGTCATTTTTAAAAAGTAATTTTCCAGATAACAGACAAGCATAAGTATAAACTGAATAATGAAACCAGAGTTTCTCATAAAGTCATGCATGTAAACAAATCAACAAGAACATTAGATCAAAGTTGCAAACTAAATCATGCACAATAAGATATGAAGCGTATAACCATTATTTAAATTCAAAACAATGGAGGGAGAAAAAAGCTTTAAAGCACTTGACAATTCCAATTAACTAGCAAGAATGTGTGCCCGAAAAGAGTTCACCTTTGAAGTAGGTCTAATGATATGAGGATTTTCATTAACATAGAACAAAAGCATTAACCATTTTTCAGTGACTATATTAGACTGTGAATAACCTTTCATGTATTGTAAATTAAAAGTTAACTCCTCCATAATCCCACACTCTT